AAAATAAAATACATAAAATGCAAAAACCAATATAATAGACAACACAGCAATATAAAATCAAACATCAAAACAAGGTAATTTTTCCGAATTTATTCCGAATTACGAAGAGTCCGACGGTACCTAACCATACCTAATAAATAGTTTAGACTCTGGGCTCTTCCCTCTTTCAGAGTCTGCCCCTCAGAAAGAAAGACCTGCCTTAATCCTCCCTCTGGCTCATTTCTTGGAATGGCTCTGAGGATGGTTATATGAATGCATCCTCTATTGCCAGTTCCCTGCCAACATTGTTTGGGTACAGGCTGCAGAGAGGTGGCAAATTAGACCCCGAGGCTTTAGGAAGAAGGGCCTTTTCTGGAAAAATAAAACTCCAGATCCCTCCCTCCTTCTTTCCTCCAGCCTTTTCCATCCAAAACCTTGCAAGGAGGCACCCTGGAGAGCTCTTTTGTTTGCTCACTGAGAGGAGAGCTGCTCGCTCCATTAAGGTTGACAGAAGAAGAGAGGAAGGCCTGCCTGGGTCGCTTTTGCAGACCTGAACTGGAAGCAATACCTGCGATGAAAACATTGTGACAATCGGACTGGAATGGCAACCTGGGAGGCTGACAGGGAGTGCAATTTATGCTCAACCAATTTGGGCACTGAACGGTATTTAGGTTCATACTGGAAGGGGTTGCATTGCAAGGAGAGGGTCTGGGAAAGAGTATTGCCCCCAAACCTAGGTAAAGGTTTTCCCCTGACCTTAAGTCCAGTTGTGTCCAACTCTGGGGGTTGATGCTTGAAAAGAAGCAGGGGAGCTGAGGGATGATTTATTGTTGCCACCAATTTGAAAGGAACCAGTATTCAGGAGATTTTACCCCAGTTCCCAATTTTAAAAAGACTTAGCCGATTTGCAATGGAGGTTGCCGATTAGGAACCAAATTTACCATCAAGTTAGAAGGGAGGCTGTTCAATTGCACCTCCTCCTTTATTAAGAAAGTAATAACTTAGTAGTAATTACACTGTATATACTGTAGCGTGACTGGAGAGAAGAATGTAGATTTATTTGGTTACTTTTCCCTACGTTTCTGCCACCACGTGAGGTAAGTTGTAATATTGAGAGAAATGGCCCTTTGTACACAGAATAGACGGAGCTGAGGCAATCTTCAAATAAAAGTTAACAATTTTATTAAGTACACAGCGTGTGGTTGCAAGACGTAACTTTTCCTTGTTGCACTTGGAATAATACTTGTAACTTTAACAGTTCATTCTTTCAAGTAACACAGTATCTTTCTGACGTAGAGCACTTGTTTCAGACAAAGTTTCCATACAGGGATGTTTCCCTTATTTGATCCTCCCTAGATCAAATACTAAGTAAACTATTCTTTAGCCTCTCCTTAGACTAAAAGAATACCAGCTATGTTTCACCATTCGGCTGCACTAGCCTGAGAAACTTCCAATAGCCAAACCCAGCTTTTCAAAACGTCAAAGTTTTGCTTCACAAGTCACTCCACCACCTTTCCTTTCCTTCTCTCCCAACTCCTAACTCCTCACTCCTCTGAACCTAAACCCGGACTGCTCACTCCTCTAAACCTAAACCCTAACTGATTTTTAACTGTCGTTTTTTCAAACTCTCCTCTCTAAGCTCCTCCCACTTCCCTCTCTCCTGCATCGGTCTCCATGGCAACGCACATGGAGGACTCCTCTGACTTAAGCCGCTCCAGCATTACTGCAGCCAATCTAAACACAAATACAGTTAAAATCATACAATTTATAATCAACTCCTGTACAGTGCTCATCTCCATTTCTAAGCTGAAGAGCCAACGTTGTCCATAGACACCTCCAAGGTCATGTGGCCGGCATGACTACATGGAGTGCCGTTACCTTCCCGCTTCAGTCTGCCCATGCAAAGCAGGTGAACACAGCATTGAACTACCACTCCTCTTGGCGTCCCCAGCAACAGCAAGGGTATCCCTCTGGGCAGCTAAATTAAGAAATCCCAACTGGATGGCACCCGACAAAGGAGGGTCTTCCTCCAGAGGCAAACCAAGAACGGGCAACTTGGAAGTCCCTGAATAGACTCAGAAGTGGAGTGGGCAGATCAAAAGACAACCTGGCAAAATGGCACGACCTAAAAGAATCCCACACCTTGTGTGACTGTGGAGCAGAACAGACAACTCCGCATCTGTATGCTTATCCACTGTGCCCTGCCTCATGTACCGAGGAAGAGTTGTTGGAGGCTACAGACAATGCCATTGCTGTTGCCCGTTTTTGGTCAAAAGATATTTAGCCGCCTGCACTCCTTCTATTTTTATCAGTGTTATACTAATTTATGCAAAGTTTTTGATGAAAACATATTTATTTATTTGTTTGTTTATTTACAGTATTTTTATTCTGCCCTTCTCACCCTGCAGGGGACTTAGGACGGATTACAATGTACACATATATGGCAAACTTTCAATGCCAAAGACACACAACAGATATAGACAGACAGTCAGACTGGATGGCCCTTGGGGGTCTGTTCTATGCTTCTATGGAATTTGTGTGTCACATAGTTTTGTTGTGTTATGGGTCCAAATCTCCCCAGTTCAACCAACTTGCCGTCTTCTTCCCACCTAGCCTGTCTGCCGGGGACCTTCGGACTCAACTGTGCACGGATCTGTCAGTGCGCAGGAGTGAATCACGACTGCCACCCAGTGACCGGGGAGTGTATCTGTGCACCAGGATTCCACGGCAGCAATTGCCGGCAGAGTGAGTTGTGGATCCAGCACCAATGCATTGTGTGAGATATTCATATTTAGCATGAGCAGCGGGGGGCTTTGAGTATCCGAGGCAATGGTTACAGAGAAAGGTTTGAAATGCTGTATAGTGAGACTGCATGAGGCATTCCAGATGTTTCTAGATCTCGATAGACTTTCACAGTGCAAAAATGGTGTTACATCGTTGTAATATATACACATTTTGGTTCCTCTAATTTTAGAGGAACCCCTGCCACGCATTGGGGGTTCTGTGTGGGAGGTTTGGCCCACTTCTATCGTTGGTGGGGTTCAGAATGCTCTGTGATTGTAGGTGAACTATAAATCCCAGCAACTACAACTCCCAAATGTCAAGATTCTATTTTCCCCAAACTCCACCAGTGTTCACATTTGGGCATATTGAGTATTCATGTAGAGTTCGGTCCAGATCCATCATTGTTTGTGTCCACAGTGATCTCTGGACGTAGGTGAACTACAACTCCAAAACCAAAGGACACTGCCCACCAAACCCTTCTGGTATTTTCTGTTGGTCATGGAAGAACTGTGTGCCAAGTTTGGTTCAATTCTATCATTGGTGGGGTTCAGAATGCTCTTTGATTGTAGGTGAACTATAAATCCCAGCAACTACAACTCCCAAATGTCAAGATTCTATTTTCCCCAAACTCCACCAGTGTTCACATTTGGGTATTGAGTATTCGTGTAGAGTTTGGTCCAGATCCATCATTGTTTGAGTCCACAGTGATCTCTGGATGTAGGTGAACTACAACTCCAAAAACAAAGGACACTGCCCACCAAACCCTTCCAGTATTTTCTGTTGGTCATGGGAGAACTGTGTGCCAAGTTTGGTTCAATTCCATCGTTGGTGGGGTTCAGAATGCTCTTTGATTGTAGGTGAACTATAAATCCCAGCAACTACAACTCCCAAATGTCAAGATTCTATTTTCCCCAAACTCCACCAGTGTTCACATTTGGGCACATTCAGTATTCGTGTAGAGTTTGGTCCAGATCCATCCTTGTTTTAGTCCACAGTGATCTCTGGATATAGGTGAACTACAACTCCAAAACCAAAGGACACTGCCCATTAAACCCAGTATTTTCTGTTGGTCATGGGAGAACTGTGTGCCAAGCTTGGTTCAATTCCATCGTTGGTGAAGTTCAGAATGCTCTTTGATTGTAGGTGAACTATACATCCCAGCAACTACAACTCCCAAATGTCAAGATTCTATTTTCCCCAAACTCCACCAGTGTTCACATTTGGGCATATTGAGTATTCGTGTAGAGTTTGGTCCAGATCCATCATTGTTTGAGTCCACAGTGATCTCTGGATATAGGTGAACTACAACTCCAAAACCAAAGGACACTGCCCACCAAACTGTGAACTATAAATCCCAGCAACTACAACTCCCATATGACAAAATCATTTTTTTTTTAGTGAAGGGCATACATTGGGTTGTTAAGTGTCTTGTGTCCAAATTTGGTGTCAATTCGTCCAGTGGTTTTTGAGTTCTGTTAATCCCACAAAACAAACATTTTATTTTTATTTATTTATTTATTTATTACAGTATTTATATTCCGCCCTTCTCACCCCGCAGGGGACTCAGGGCGGATTACAGTGTACATATACATGGCAAACATTCAATGCTATAGACACACAACATATATAGACAGCCACTCAGAGGCTATTTAACATTCCAGCTTTTTTCATGAGGGTATTCTGGCCACCAGGGGAGCTGTCGCTTCACCGACCATTTGTAACACTGATGAAGTACTTCCTCATTCTTTGCATGCTTGCTGGAGATTTTTATGGCCTCGTAAATTTGTTAAATTCGCCTCCCTGCTAAGCGGTACTTAAATTTCGTACTCGACAGATACAACTGTCTTTCAGGCTGCAAAGGTCGACAGCAAGCTACACAAATTTGGTCGGAAACTCACTCCGACCCGAGCTGGCTTCGAACTCATGACCTTTCGGTCAGTAGTGATCTTAATGCAGCTGACTCCCAGCCAGCTGCGCCACAGTCCCGGTGCTGTTTCTGGGTATATTTGACCTGCTGATTAAAAAAAAAATAGTACCTGCTTTTCCTTATCAGGTTTAGTTTTTGAGATACGGAACATATGCCATCCACTAGTTGACATCTGCTCATCCATAAAAAACTAAGAAAATCGTATCTTCGAAACTAGAGCTGATGTAGTCGATTGCATGGAATTTGCTGCATCATTGCCCTAAATAACCCCAATAACTCTAACAACAACAACAACAACAACAACAGCAACAAATTTATTTGTATCCCACCACCATCTCCCAGAAGGGACTCTGGGTGGCTTGTGAAGTCTAGGAAAAAAGGGTTTAGATATCTGTGGAATCTGTGGCAAGCATCCTCAGATGTAGTGATGTGCCGTCACACCCAGATCCTAAAAATAAAACTAAGATGTGCTTCTCTCTTTGTCTGGGTCTTTCTTTAGAAGCTTGAGATTCCTAGCAACTGAGGCCACTAAAGATTTACCAAAACAGAATATTTATTTCTCAAAGTCCTTGCAGACTTGGCACAGCTTGGCAAAGTTACAAACAAAACAGTCAATTGGTGAAACCATAGAGATGATCTTTCTTTCTTTTTTCTTCAGTTACTGAGGTAACTTTTCCCCAAATGGTAGAAAATATCCTGGGATCCTTTCACCCTAACCCTGAGCTATGGTTAGAAAAACAGGTTTTTCCCTATCTATAGTTCAAGGTTAGCTCTGGAGATGAAGTACTGGGGATCACAACCAGACACAGTGAAGACATCTGCCCTTGCGCTATGCTTCTCTGCTGCTGAGTACGCATGCCTAGTGTGGAACACATCTCACCACACTAAAACAGTGGATGTGGCTCTGAATGAGACATGCCGCATTATCACAGGGTGTCTGCGCCCTACACCACTGGAGAAATTACACTGCTTAGCCAGTATTGCACCACCTGACATCCGCCGGGAAGTAGCAGCCAATAGTGAAAGGACCATCTCCAGCACATCCCTTGTTTGGGTATCAGCCAGCACGTCAACGACTTAAATCAAGAAATAGTTTTCTTAGATCCACAGAGTCACTCGCTGGAACACCTCAGCAAGCAAGAGTCCAAAAGTGGCAGGCTCAAACCCAGCACCTAAGTCCGTGGGTGATACCAGATGAGAGACTTCCCCCTGGGCACATAGAGGACTGGGCGACTTGGAAGACGCTGAACAGACTGCGCTCTGGCACCACGAGATGCAGAGCCAACCTTCAGAAATGGGGCCACAAAGTGGAATCCATGACATGCGAGTGCGGAGAAGAGCAAACCACTGACCACTTGCTGCAATGCGACCTGAGCCCTGCCACATGCACAATGGAGGACCTTCTTGCGGCAACACTAGAGGCACTCCAAGTGGCCAGCTACTGGTCAAAGGACATTTAATCAGCTACCGAGTTTGCAAAATTTGTGTTTTTTTATCTGTTTGTTTGTTTTGTTCTGTTAGAAATGTAATACAATGGTATGGTTGCTGATGACACGATAAATAAAAAAAAATAAGAGGTGCTTTGGATGCAATTTTCCTGCTTCTTGGTAGAATGGGGTTGGACTGGATGGCCCGTGAGGTCTCTTCCAACTCTAGGATTCTATGATTCTCTGATTTTTCTAAGGTTTCAAGAGAGGGAAAAACTCAATCACTACTTCTCTCCTGACATACAAGCAGAGAGAGATCTCAAAGCACACAGCCAACCCAGAAGGACACCATAGTCAATGGTACTGAAAACCACTGAGAGATCCAAGAAAACCATCCGGGACACACTCCCCCTGTCATCCACCAAGGCGACCAAAGCTGTCTCCATTCCGTGACCAGACTCTAAAAACCAAGAATTTGTTTCGTTGTTGTTGTGTTGTGCAAATCAAAGCCAAGGGAACCAAAGGAATAGCAGGTCCAACCCCCTGACATCTAGTCCAACCCCCTGCCATTCAAAAGCATGCTTTTGGGTTAAATTTGAGCTGTGTTGGGAGACACAATCCTCGACTGCCACATGTCGAGCATTTTGTCTGGCTTGTTTTCATTGTGACCCTTTGTTATCTTCCCGTCTCCTTCCTCAGGATGTCCACTGGGACGATATGGTCCAAACTGTGAGAAGCAGTGTAAATGTAAGAACGGAGGGCAGTGTGTGACCACCACGGGAACGTGCCAATGCCCAGCTGGCTACATTGGAGCTGACTGCAGTAGTGGTGAGTAGCTGTAGATCAGGGGTCCTCAAACTTTTTAAACCGGGGGCCAGTTATTATTATTATTATTATTATTATTATTATTATTATTATTAAACTTTATTTGTACCCCGCTAGCATCTCCCGAAGGACTCGGTGCGGCTTACAAAGGCCAAGGCCCCAGCACACAATATACCAGTGTTTCTCAACGTTCCTAATGCCGCGACCCCTTAATCCAATTCCTCGTGTTGTGGTGACCCCCAACCATAACAATATTTTTGTTGCTACTTCATACAGTAATTTTGCTGCTGTTCTGAATCGTCATGTAAATACCAGATATGCAAGATTTATTTTCATTCACTGGACCAAATTTGGCACAAATACCCAATACGCCCAAATTTGAATGCTGGTGGGTGGGAGGGGACTGAATTTGTCATTTGGGAGTTGTAGTTGCTGGAATTTATAGTTTACCTACAACCAAAGAGTACTCTGAACTCCACCAACTATGGAATTGAACCAAACTTGGCACACAGAACTCTCATAACCAACCGAAAATACTGGAAGGATTTGGTGGGCATTGACCTTGAGTTCTGGAGTTGTAGTTCACCTAAATCCAGAGAGCACAGTAGACTCAAACCATGATAGACCTGGGACCTGGACCACACTTGGCATGAATACTCAATATGCCTGAATGTGAATGTAGAGTTTGGGGAAAATAGACCTTGACATTTGGGAGTTGTCGTTGCTGGAATTTATAGTTCACCTACAATCAAAGAGCATTCTGAAACCCACAAACAATGGAATTGTGCCAAACTTCCCACACAGAACCCCCATGACCAACAGAAAACAATATGGTGTTTTCTGATGGTCTTTGGCGACCCCCCTGACACCCCCTCGCGACCCCCCAAGGGGTCCCGACCCCCAGGTTGAGAAACGCTGCTGTAGATACAAAACCTAAAGCAAATTAAAACAATTAAAGCAAAATAAACAACAGGCAATAAACAATACACTAAGACACAATAAAACTGGGCCGGGCCAGAGTAATGGGTACAAGATTAAAAGTGCTGATGTGACGGGTGGTATATAAGGCATTATGGGCAAGTGCAGTGTGCGGTGTGCAGCAGTCTTAGTTCTAGTAAAATGCTTGTGGGACTTGGTATTGGAGATTTCCTAATCTGGGAAGGCACATCGGAACAGCCAGGTCTTCAAGTTCTTTCTGAAGACTGCCAACGTAGGGGCCTGTCTAAGATCTTTGGGGAGGGTGTTCCAGAGTCGGGGGGCCACCACGGAAAAGGCCCTGTCTCGTGTCCCCACCAGGCGCGCTTGCGACGCAGGCGGGATCACAAGCAAGGCCTCTCCAGATGACCGAAGTGAATGCGTGGGTTCGTAGATGGAGATGCGGTCACGCAGGTAGGCTGGTCCCAAACCGTTCAGGGCTTTGTAGGTAAGCACCTGCACCTTAAATTGGGCTCGGAAAATAAACGGCAGCCAGTGGAGCTCCTTGAACAGGAGGGTTGACCTCTCTCTGTAAGGGGCCCCAGTTAACATCCTGGCTGCTGCCCGTTGGACCAGTTGGAACTTCCGAGCCGTTTTCAAGGGCAGCCCCACGTAGAGCGCATTGCAGTAATCCAATCTGGAGGTGACCAAGGCATGGACCACCCCGGCCAGATCAGCCTTCGCGAGGTACGGTCGCAGTTGGCGCACGAGTCTCAGTTGTGCAAAAGCCCTCCCAGACACCGCCGACGCCTGAGCCTCAAGCGTAAGCGATGAATCCAGGAAGACTCCCAAACTGCGGACCTGTGGCTTCAGGGGGAGTGTAACCCCGTCCAGCACAGGTTGCCACCCTATACCCCGATCAGGTTTGCGATCAACCAGGAGGACCTCTGTCTTGTCGGGATTGATCAGTTCGCTGTCCCTCATACCATTGGAGGGCCGGACTATAGTTCTTTTTAAAAAATCAATTAAAAAATCCCTATGCACATTGCACATATCTTATTTTGCTGTGTGGAAAGGCCCTTAGAGGGGGTTCTTTCTAGCCCTCTTTAGGCAGTAATTCCAGGAGCAGAGAATGGGAAATCTTCCTATTTCTAGTCTGAACAAAATCTGGCTACCAGTATTTAAAAAAACTCTAAAATTATAACTGTAAATAAAGAACAACACTCAAACACAGGGGAACTCCAGACAAGAAACAATCAGGGCCAGCTAATCACCTCTCAACAAAGGATTCTCCCTAAAAAACTGTCAGGCTATGAAATGGTAATCAAGGTGGCCAATTGAAACATTCATACCTACCTCCAACAAACAAGAGTTCTTTCTCCCACCCTGGATCTTCCACAATTTTCCTAGTTAAAGGTTTTCCTCTGACATGAAGTCCAGTCGTGTCTGACTCTGGGGTGTGGTGCTCATCTGCATTTCTAAGTCGAAGAGCCGGCGTTGTCCATAGACACCTCCAAGGTCATATGCGGCATGACTGCATGGAGGGCCGTGAGCAGCTGCCTTTGGCTGGCTCACGCTGCCCATTGGGCCTGACGGATAGCGTGAGCCAGCCAAAGGAGGAGCAGCACCGCATGGCCTACTCGCACATAAAGCACCTCGCGAGGTGCTTTACGCGCGAGTAGACTGTGCGGAGCAGCTGCCTTTGGCTGGCTCACTGCCCATTGGGCCTGACGGATAGCGTGAGCCAGCCAAGGGAGGAGCAGCCCTGCGCGGCCTACTGCACATAAAGCACCTCGCGAGGTGCTTTACGCGCGAGTAGACTGTGCGGAGCAGCTGCCTTTGGCTGGCTCACGCTGCCCATTGGGCCTGACGGATAACGTGAGCCAGCCAAGGGAGGAGCAGCACCACGCAGCCTACTCGTGCATAAAGCACCTCGCGAGGTGCTTTACGCGCGAGTAGGCTGCACGGAGCAGTAAGTAGGCCACGCGGAGCAGCCTCCCTTGGCTGGCTCACACTGCCCATTGGGCCTGATGGATAGCGTGAGCCAGCCAAGGGAGGAGCAGCACCGCACGGCCTACTCACGTGTAAAGCACCTCGCGAGATGCTTTACGCACGAGTAGGCCACGCGGAGCAGCTGCCCTTGGCTGGCTCACACTGCCCATCGGGCCTGACGGATAGCGTGAGCCAGCCAAGGGAGGGGCACTCTGTGTGGGGGGGGGCGCTCCTCCTCCGCGGGCCGGATAAGTGCCCTTGGCGGGCCGGAAGTGGCCCGCGGCCCGTAGTTTGAGGACCCCCTTCTGTAGATCATGATGTGTGTCTATTAGGCTTGGGTAACTACGGAAAAATTTGGTTCTAAACTCATTTCGTTTTTAGGGGGTTTTTGCGTTTCGTTTTTTAAAAGAATTCCGAAATTTTTCTTTAAAAAAGTTTGAAATATACGAAATTTCGTAAAATTATGAAACAATTACGAAACAATTACGAATCGATTCGTTAATGGCGGACGCGATTGCGCAATATGCTAAAAAACCCTCCAAATGGGACAGGGGGAACTTCTGAAGCTTCCCTCTCCCTCTGTTGTTGACTGTTGGTGTGATAATTTATTTTTTATCACTGATAAAACAAACAACAACCCTAAAACTTGCACCAGACATACGGAAATAATTTCAAAACAATTTCGAAACAATTACGAAACAATTACGAAATAAATTGAAAAAATTGTTTCGATTTTTAATTGCTCCTGCATGGCTCAATATCGGATCGTAAGCTAATTTAAATACGAATTAATAACGAATTACGAAATTAACGAACGAAACCGCCCAAGCCTAGTGTCTATAACAATCCAGGTGGTTATGTTTGGTTTATTCTATTTAGAAACCGGAGTTAAAAGTTCAAATATTTTCTGGTGTTATCCAGGCAGTCTATCGTAATAGGCTTCGATGAGTTGGGGGGCTACACTAGGGGTTAGGCTTGTGCATAATCTTATTCTGAACAGTTGCTCACTTCTGTATTTATCGTGTTGACATTAACACCGTAAACAAGGCGCACCATTGTCTCGCTTATACAAACTTTGAGATCTCCAGGGATAGTCCCTATAGCTTTAAAATGGAAACTCTTCCCCCAGAATATTCTGGATGGAACTATCCATTTGGGGACAAATTGAGAGGTGATAGTATCCGCACCGCAAAGTTACTTTTGCAAACTTCTTGCTGACAGCTACATCCTGGAAATGTCATTTTTCCTAGCTTTCCTATTGAGGCATGTGCTTGTTGCTGTTGCTGTTGTTGTTGTTGTTGTTGTTGTTGTCAATGCTTGGTATGACAGCCATGCAGTCGATAACACTGTTGTTGTTTTTCCTAGCTTGCCCACCTGGACACTATGGAGCTGGCTGTACACTGGTGTGTTCCTGCAGCCACAATGCCACCTGCCATCATGTGACAGGGTTTTGCCTTTGCCCTCCAGGAAGGACTGGCCCCAACTGCGAACATGGTAAGTGAGCAACGATGGGGTCAGATTGCCTGGTGTAGCCATGAGTTTGATTGTACAATGTGTCATCTTTTTCTTCCTCTTCTTCATATTTTTCTTCCTTCTCTCCCTCTTTTTTTATTTCTCCTTTTTCTTTTCCTTCTTTCCTCCTCTATTTTCTTCCTCCTCCTTTTCACCATCATATTCTTCTGCCTTCTTACCCACCCCCCGTATGCTCCTCTTCATCTTCTCCCTCCTACATCTCCTTTCCTTGTCCATTTCTTCTTCCCATTCTGTTCTGTCGCGTGCTGAGCCTGTAACAGCTGTCTTTTCTATAGGACGTATACTTTAAGCCCAACGGGAAGCCAGGGCGCCTCAAAGAGAGGTTCTCAGGGATTTTTCTGAAGTAATGGTCTTTAGAGTCTTTGATGATACAACAAAGTCTTTATTATGGAACAAACAACAAATCTTCGATGGTTCAAACAACACTTCAAGGCTTTCTTAGTCTAGTCCTCAATGGACTGGTACCTGACTTTAATTAACTGTACTTTCTCTGTAGGAAAAAACCCTATTTAACCTCTCCCAGGCTGTTTGCTATCTATGCCTGGGTTCTACTACCGATTCCAAATGCGTCTGGGTATCGAGTAGACCTACCAGTCGAGGCTTGTAGATATTTCAGATGGAGTTCCGTGGATCTGTAGTGCTGTCCTCCCTCAGAGAATTCTTTGAAAACCTCAGGGTTGTTTTCCCTCTGATTGCTGTGAGGCTGAGAGGCTGTGAGCTCTCAGCCAGAGCCTTGGGACCTTTTCCCTGGAATTTCTGTTTCTGTTTCCCCGGATGTTCCTTTTCCCTGGATGCTCTTGAGAAAAGAAGCTTTTCTACGGGACGAGCTGGTCTACGTCCTATAGTTTAGCTTCCTTATGTGAGACTGCCCAAAAAAATGGCTCCTTTCCCTCCCAGAGCCCTGAACAAGGGGCGGAACCAAAGCTTAATTATGATGGACAGGAGGCCTGCCCTATGACTGCAAGCAGATAACAGAAAGAAAATAAAGTTGGAGCTCCTGGTACAGCCGTACCAGCACACATTCCTTTTCCACTAATCCTCCTCCACCACTTCCTTTTTCTTTTTTTCCCTTCTCCTTCCTCTTCCTCCTCCCCCCTCTCCCTCATCCAGATACTTTCTTCTTTATGGTCTCTATGAAATGCACACATATGGTAGTGGTTGATGTGCATGCACAGCACTTCAGACTCTTTTGACAAGCTCTCTATAGCTTTAAGGCTATGGCCCCACCCATCTTCCCCATATGGCATATAAGGCATGGGTGGGGCAGTCTGGGAGTTGTAATTCACCTACATCCCAGTAGAACTCCTATAAATCATGATGAATTCTCCCCTCTCTAGTATGTTCAGTTGCTGATCATTTCCCCTGTTTGCTGTGTGCCATGGAAAATGATAGGAAAGAGTTATGGGAGAGGCAGTGGGCGGGGTCTTGCAAATTCCACACCAATGGAGAGAGTCAGAAACACTGGGATACCTGTGGTGGAGGAAAAACAGAAAATCTAGGATAAAATTGTCCCCGTGTGATAGCCTTCACTTGGGTGGTGGGCAGTATGTTGTTTGTGGAGGACATTGGCAAGGCTCTTGTACATGTTCATGGCACTCACTATAACTTGCAATGTCATTGGAGGGAAGGCCATTGGTGTCTCCTGAGTAGTGGGAGCTATAGCTGTTTGTGGAGGCAGGAGCTTGTCTGTGTAAGTGGACACCCCAGCCACATACACACATACATATTTTCACTTTTATTATGTGGATGGCTACCAGGTCGTAAAAGATCGCCACCAATTAGTGAGGAAGACCCTTAGGTTTAGGAGAGAGGAGCCACCGATTTGTAAAAGGCTCTGGTATTAATACCACTGGATGCCACCCTGTTTGTGTTGTGAGGTAATTTTGGGAGATTGGGTACACGAACGTAGAATTAATGGAGATGAGGCAGTTTCAAAAACCAAAGAGAACAAGTTTATTTTTAAACAAAGCGTATGGTTGCAGTATGATGATGTTAAGCTTGGCAAATAATTGAAGGTTACATGTAACTTGGTTGCGATACAATTCAGACTTTCGATGTTACAACTTATGAACTCTTGCTGTGGTGAAGCACTTTATTAACCAGTGTTCCCTGCAGTGAATAGTCTCCCTGTTTGATCTATCCTTGATCAAACAACAGATCTCTAGTCTTCTCCCGACTAGCGATCTTAACAGCCTCTGTTAGTTCTTTCTAACTAAAGCAACTAACAAGGTTTTCCCCTTCAGCTTCCTAACTGAAGAAATCTCTACTATTCACGAACACTGAAACCTGACTCTTCACTTCTCAGAGTCTCAATCCTGACCTGCTCTTCCCTGAGCCTAAAACCCTGACTGACTCTAACTGTCACTTTTCAAAAACCTTAACTCTCTAAGCTCCTCCCACCTCCTCTTCTGCCTCGTTTCCATGGTAACACATTCCTAACAGCTAGGCCGCTCCAGCCTAAGGGCAACCAATACAAACATAAATACAGTTATAAGCATATTATTATAAACACTTCTGTACACTGGTCAATGACCGAAATAAATAATTTGATGTTGATGATATTTTCACTTTTATTATGTGTATAGATTTTTTAACATTTGCTTTTCCCTGTGTTTTGTTGTCTTCTAAATCAGGTTGTCCAAGGAATCGTCATGGACCGGGATGTAAGCAGGCGTGTGGCTGCCAGAACGGAGGAATCTGTCTCGCATCCAACGGTTCCTGCCTCTGTCGGCTCGGGTGGACTGGGACATTTTGCGAACTAGGTAATTCCTCATTTTATTTGCTTTTTGGTCTTGAGAGTCCACAATTCGTTGGCGAAAATGATCAAAACATCAAAACACTGTTTTCTGTGCAGGATGTCCACCAGGAAGCTATGGGTCCGGCTGCCAGCTGAACTGCACTTGTCGAAACAATGCAACCTGCGATATGGTGACAGGAGCCTGCCAATGTGGGAAAGGCCACTATGGGAACTTGTGCGAACACAGTAAGTTGCACTCATGTTGTGTGTCAATAAGTGTGTGTGTATGGTGGTGGGTTTAGAAATTGAAACAATTTTTTGGTCAATGTTCTGTAACATTTGGGTGTCTCCTGAGGTCAGTTTAATTTTCAGTATAACCATTCAGCAACTTTGGTAAAGCCAAAACAACATAAAACACTTTAAGTACCATTCCTTTGGTCTTTTTTTTCCTATGTAATTTTGATGATGTTGCTTGTTGTTTATGTTTCTGGTTTTATTCTGCTGTAATATGTTGTCCGGGATTGGCCCCATGTAAGCTGCTCCAAGTCCCCACTGGGGAGATGGTGGCAGGGTATAAATAAAGATTATTATTATTATTATTATTATTATTATTATTATTATTATTATTAAGACTGGATGGCCATCTGTTAATGGTGATTGAGAACACAGCCATCTTAAATGTAGTTTGGGAAAGTGAGGCAAAGTAAACAGGCGGTGGTTCGACCACTCCTGAAGAAGTCTTCCCTTGACTCCACGGTGCTGAGCAACTACAGACCAATCTCCAACCTCCCTTTTTTTGGACAAGGTGCTGGAACGGGTGGTCACTAGGGCTGGGCGGTTTCGTTTCGTTAATTCGTAATTCGTTAATAATTCGTTAATTTTTTCAATTACAAAACGATAACGAACCATTCTGGAGCAATTATTAAAAAAACGAATTTTCAAAAACGTTTTGTAAATGCTTCGTATTTCGATATTTTATTCGTTTCGTTATTGTTTTGAGGTCGTTTCGTTATTATTTCCGCATGTCTGGGCCAGTTTTATGGTTTAATTAGTGAAAAAAAATTATAATATCACACCAACAGTCAACAACAGAGGGAGAGGGAAGCTTCAGAAGGTTTTGGAGGTTTTTTAGCATATTTCGCGGTCGCGTCCGCCATTAACGAATCGATTCGTTATTGTTTCGGAAATCGATTCGTTAATTTTTTTACCATTTACGAAATTTCGTAAATATCGAACTTTTTAAAAGGAAAATTTTGTAATTATTTTAAATATCGAAACAAAAAAAACCCCAAATACAAATCGATTTTAGAAACAAATTTTTCCGTTGTTACCCAGGCCTAGTGGTCACCTCTCAGTTCCAGGGCTTTTTGGAGGACACCAATTACATGGACCAGTCACAATCTGGCTTCAGGCCTGACCACGGCACCGAGACGGCTTTGGTCGCCTTGGTGGATAACCTCCGCAGAGAGCTTGACAGGGGGTGTGACCCTGTTAGTTCTCAGGGACATCTCAGCGGCTTTCGATATCATCGACCATGGTATCCTTCTGGGACGACTCTCCGGGATGGGCCTTGGGGGCACGGTTCTGTTGTGGCTCCGGTCCTTCCTGGAGGGTCGCTCCCAGATGGTGAAGCTGGGAGATGCCTGCTCGGACCCCTGGCCTTTGACCTGTGGGGACCCACAAGGCTCTATTCTGTCTCCCATGCTTTTTAACATCTACATGAAACCACTGGGAGAGGTCATCCGGAGTTTTGGAGTTGATGATGCTCCATTTAGCAGTTTGCACAGATTTGGATTTTTTTTCATTTGTTTTAACCCTTTTTTTATATATGCCATGATTGGTTCTCCTTCCTAGGTTGCCCAGCGGGCTTCCACGGAGTCCGTTGCCAAGAGCCATGTGTTTGCCAAAACGGAGCCACGTGTGACCCGGTGACAGGGGAATGTATTTGCCCCCCTGGTTTCCATGGCAACCAGTGCCAAAAAGGTATGTCACCCACTTCCAAACATAAAAAAGCCATGCTCCTGATGCAGTTTATGCTTGCAAGGTCTGGAGCCGCTGTCTCTTAGACGGTGTGCTGGTACGGCTGTACCAGGAGCTCCAACTTCTTTTTCTTTCTTTGAGTGTTTGCATGTATTCCAAAGTTCCATGCATTTTGCAATAAGGTGGCTCCCCTTGGTTTGCAATTATAGGGCCAATGACCCATCAGTCATTGTTAAGTTTTGGTTCCGCCCCTTTCCCCAGTGCTCTGGGAGGAGAGGGAGCCATTTTAGGTCAGTCTTGCATTGGAAAGCTTAGCTACAGGACGTGGATTAGCTCCACCTGTTAGAGAAGCTTCGTTTCTCACAGCATCCGGGGGAAATTCCGGGGGGAAACAGTTCCAAAGGACTCCAGCTGGAGAATCTACAAAGCTTTGACTGGTAGGCCTACTCGGGACCCAAGAAGCAGTTTGGAGCCGGGAGTAGAGCCCAAACCAGCAAAGTTTAGAAAGTAGATTGCCCAAGGAGGGGTTAAAAGAAAAGAAACAGTTCACGAAACCAGTTGCCTGTCCCTTGTGGACAAGATTAAGAAAGCCACCAGTTGATTCAAAGTCTTGAAGCATTTGTTTAATTAGTTGAAGATCTAAGAAGTATCTGATTGTTTGTTGAAGACTTAAGCCATAATAAAAGACCTTGTTGAACCTTTCAAGCTTCTAAAGACTCTGTATAGGAAAATCCTTAGGGCCTCTCACTCGAGGCACCCTGGCTTCCCGCTGGGCACAAAGAGCACGTCCTGTTCAAAAGCCAACTGCTATAGGCCCAGCGTGTGACAGCACAGACGGGAATCCTATTGGTGACTTAGGCTTATCTGCCTTTTAAAAACCTTAGATGTCCCGAGTTGCCCTTCAAAATCAGCCTTTAGACAATGTTGAAAGTAAAAGAAAAATACTTTACTTCAGCAAACACAAAGGATAAGCAAATGCAATTGACAAGTACAAAAGAAAGCATGGAAGTCTTAATCCAGACACAAAGTAAAGTCTCTTACAAAATCCCAAAAGAAACACCAGTCTTCCATCAGATAACAGGCAATGAACTAAGCCCTTAGCAGCAGACACAAAGCAGATTCAATTGGAGTGAAAACATCAATATCAGGGTCCTTGTTACTAGCAGAAACTGACTATTCCTGCCTCTGATTTCTAGCCCTGAATTCCCCATGCAAGAGGTGCTAGGGTGTCTCCCAATTAGCTCAGCATTTTTAGCAGCTATCCTAGCTGAACGCTATCTGTGCTCTGTCTCTTTTCATCTCTCTAGAAATGTGGGCACTTTCAAACCCTCCTCGTCTGATTCTTCTTCTCCCTCCAATTCCTGAGCACTTCCCTACTGCCACAAATTGTCTCTTAACATAATTGCTGACATTCAATCTGACAAAAGGCAGTCCACTTGCTTGAAATGACATTGGCATATTTCTTCAGCCTCAATATGGTCTGTACTTTACTTAACTGGGTTATACTGGTCTATACTGGTCAGTTGAGGACCTCTCCCCCCAGCACCAACTGATGCTCTGGGGCAGAGTGAAGAGAGAGGGGGCCAGGGAACAGTTCCACTTTGTCTCCTGTGCTATGCAATAATATAATATAACTAGCCGTCCCCTGCCACGTGTTGCTGTGGCCCACATGGGGGTTCTGTGTGGAAGGTTTGGCCCAATTCTGTCATGGGTGGGGTTCAGAATGCTCTGTCATTGTAGATGAACTATAAATCCCAGCAACTGTTTGAGTCCACAGTGATCTCTGGATGTAGGTGAACTACAACTCCAAAACCAAAGGACATTGCCCACAAAACCCTTCCAGTATTTTCTGTTGGTCATGGGAGTTCTGTGTGCCCAGTTTGGTTCAATTCCATCGTTGGTGGAGTTCAGAATGCTCTTTGATTGTAGGTGAACTAAAAATCCCAGCAACTAAATGTCAAGATTCTATTTTCCCCAAACTCCACCAGTGTTCACATTTCGGCATATTGAGTATTTGTGTAAGGTTTGGTCCAGATCCATCATTGGTTGAATCCACAGTGCTCTCTGGATGTAGGTGAACTACAACTCCAAAACTCAAGGTCAATGCCCACCAAACCCTTCCAGTATTTTCTGTTGGTCATGGGAGTTCGGTGTGCCAAGTTTGGTTCAATTCCATCATTGGTGGAGTTCAGAATGCTCTTTGATTGTAGGCGAACTATAAATTCCAGCAGCTACAACTCCCAAATGACAAAATCAAAAAGTTTTGAGTGATGGTCACTCTTTGTGTTGTGAGACATTTTGTTGCCAAGTTTGGTGTGATTTTGTTCATTGGTTCTTTTTTTTTTAAGGTACTCATTACGCACTGAGCAATTATATATATTTAGATATCATATAATATATTGTATATACATATAATACTAGCCATCCCCTGCCACGCGTTGCTGTGGCCCACTCTGGTGGTCATGGGGTTTCTGTGTGGGAGGTTTGGCCTAATTCTATGGTATATTTTATCTCATCATAGTCTGTTAATTGTTTTTTATTTGGAATATGTGGCCCGCCCATTGTCATCTCTATCGTGATTGTGTCTATTGGAATTTTATTTTATTTTTATTATTACTATTATTATTTTATTATTTTAATGTCATTTTGATAATGTTGTTGTCTGATGTATATGCTTTGATTTTATTGTACTAGCTTGGGGACCCGGCGCTGCCCAGGTTATTAGAGAAAGTGGGTAATGGCAGTTCTGTGTGCCAAGTTTGGTCTTTATTGGTCATTGGATGATGGTTGCATTGTTTTCAGGAAGTGAGTGAAGGTACTTGAAGTCCCATCATCCATGGTCCACCCTCCTCCAAACAGCAGCAGGATATAGAGTGGATCATGGTGGCTCTGTATGCCAAGTTTGGTCTTTATCGGTCATTGGATGATGGTTGCATTGTTTTCAGGAAGTGAGTGAAGGTACTTGAAGTCCCATTATCCATGGTCCACCCTCCTCCAAACAGCAGCAGGATATAGAGTGGGTCATGGGGGCTCTGTGTGCCAAGTTTGGTCTTGATCAGTTATTGGATTAGGGTCGCAGTGGTTTCAATAAGTGAGTGAAGGTACTGTAAGTCCCATCATCCATGGTCCACCCTCCTCCAAACTGAAACAGGATGTAGATAGGGTCATGGGGGTCCTGATCCGTCATTGGTGTGGGCCACAGTGCTCTAAGGTAGTGAGTTAAAGTACTGCAAGTCCCATCATCCATGGTCGATTCTCTCAAACTGCACCAGGATGTTGAGTGGGTCTTGGGGGGGGGGGAGTATTTGTGAGGTTTGGTCTTGTTCTGTCATTGTTGGGGGCCACAAGGTGATTTGGACTTCAACTCCAACCATTCCTGACAGTTTCAGGCCCCTTTCCTATTCACCTGCTGACTCGGAATGTTGTGGTTCGCCAATCAGAGACCATATGCAGATTGTACCACAGTGGCAGCCAATCAGAATCTTAGAATGTTGAAGCTGGCCAGTCAGAGACCATATGCAAATTGTACCACAGTGGCAGCCAATCAGAATCTTAGAATGTTGGGGCTGGCCAATCAGAGACCCTATGCAAATAGTACCACAGTGGCAGCCAATCAGAACACTGCCACATACACCGTCCTCCCGCCGCATACAAACTTTGACTTTATATTACTAGCTTGGGGACCCGGCGCTGCCCGGGTAATTAGAGAAAGTGGGTAATGGCGGTTCTTTATGCCAAGTTTGGTCTTTATTGGTCATTGGATGATGGTTGCATTGTTTTCAGGAAGGGAGTGAAGGTACTTGAAGTCCCATCATCCATGGTCCACTCTCCTCCAAACAGCAGCAGGATATAGAGTGGGTCATGGGGGCTCTGTGTGCCAAGTTTGGTCTTTATTGGTCATTGGATGATGGTTGCATTGTTTTCAGGAAGTGAGTGAAGGTACTTGAAGTCCCATCATCCATGGTCCACCCTCCTCCAAACAGCAGCAGGATATAGAGTGGGTCATGGGGGCTCTGTGTGCCAAGTTTGGTCTTTATCAGCCATTGGATGAGGGTGGTAGTGGTTTCAGTAAGTGAGTGAAGGTAATGCAAGTCCCATCATCCAAAGTCCATCCTCCTTCAAACTGCAGCAGGATGTAGAGTGGGTCATGGGGGCTCTGTGTGCTAAGTTTGGTCTTGATCAGTCATTGGATTAGGGTCTCAGTGGCCATATGCAAATTTCCTTCTCTCATGTCCCCGTTTCTGTAATGAACCCTTTTCTCCACCAGGGGCTCCTGTTGAAGCCGGCCAATCAGAGACCATATGCAAATAGCACCACAGCGGCAGCCAATCAGAAAGCTGGCACATACACCGCCACACTTCCGCCGCATACAAACTTTGACTTTTATTATATTTACTAGCTTGGGGACCTGGCGCTGCCCGGGTTATTAGAGAAAGTGGGTAATGGCGGTTCTGTATGCCAAGTTTGGTCTTTATTGGTCATTGGATAACGGCTGCATTGTTTTCAGGAAGTGAGTGAAGGAACTTGAAGTCCCATCATCCATGGTCCACCCTCCTCCAAACAGCAGCAGGATATAGAGTGGGTCATGGGGGCTCTGTGTGCCAAATTTGGTCTTTATCAGTCATTGGATGAGGGTCGCAGTGGTTTCAGTAAGTGAATGAAGGTACTTCAAGTCCCATCATCCATCGCCAAATTTTTTCCAAATGACACCAGGACATAAAGTGGGTCATGAGAGGTCTATGTGCCAAGTTTGGTCTTGATCAGTCATTGGATGAGGTTCGCAGAGGTCTCAGAATGTGAGTGAAGGTACTGAAAGTCCCATCATCCATGGTCAACCCTCCTCCAAAACTGCAGCAATATGTAGAGTAGGTCATGGGGGCTCTGTGTGCCAAGTTTGGTTTTGATTGGTCATTAGATGAGGGTTGCAGCAGTTTTGGGGAGTGGAGGTACTTGAAGTCCCATCATCCATGGTCCGTCCTCCTCGAAAGTGCACCAGGATGTAGAGTGGGTTATGGGGGCTTTGTGTGCCAATTTGGCCTTGATTAGTCATTGGATGAGGGTCGCAGTGGTTTCAGTAAGTGAGTAAAGATACTGCAAATCCCATCATCCATGGTCCATCCCCCTTAGAACTGCATCAGGATGTAGAGTGGGCCATGAGTACTCTGTGTGCCAAGTTTGGGCCTGGTCTGTGATTTGTAGGGGCTACAATGTTCTGTGGGAAGTGAATCGGGTGAAGGTACTGCAAATCCCATCATTAGTGGCCCATCCTGCCCTGAACTGCACTGGAAGTCCCATCATCCAAAGTCCATCCCCTTTCAAACTGCAGCAGGATGTAGAGTGGATCATGGGGGCTCTGTGTGCCAAGTGTGGTCTTGATTGGTCATTAGAAGAGGGTTGCAGCAATCTTTGGAAGGGAGTGGAGGTACTTGAAGTCCCATCATCCATGGTCTGTCCTCCTCCAAACTGCAGCAGGATGTAGAGTGGGTCATTGGAGCTCTGTGCCAAGTTTGGTCTTGATCAGTCATTGGCGAGGGTCTCAGTGGTCTCAGGAAGTGAGTGAAGTGACTGCAAGTCCCATCATCCATAGTCAAATTCTTCCAAACCGCACCAGGATGTAGAGTGGGTCATGCGGGCTCTCTGTGTAAATTGTGGTCCTGATCCATCATTGTTGGCAGTTGTATTGGTCTTAGGAAGGGAGTGCAGGTATTGCAAGTCCCATCATCCATGGTGCATCCTCCTCCAAACCGCACCAGGATGTAGAGTGCGTCATGGAGACTCAGTATGCCAAGTTTGGTCTTTATCGGTAATTGGATGAGGGTTGCAGTGGTCTCAAGAATTGAGCAAAGGTACTGCAAGTCCCATAATCCATGGTCCATCCCGGCCAAACCACACCAGGACGTAAAGTGGGTCATGAGAGGTCTATGTGCCAAGTTTGGTCCTGATCAGTCATTGGATGAGGTTAACAGCGGTCTCAGAATGTGAGTGATGGTACTGCAAGTCCCATCATCCATGGTTCATCCTCCTCCAAACTGCAGTAGGATGTCGAGTGGGTCATGGGGGCTCTGTGTGCCAAGTCTGGTCTGTATTGGTAATTTTCTGACGCAGCCCCCTCTGGCCTTTTCCTTTCCTCTCTTTGTCATCTCGGAATCTTGGAATTGAGGCTGGCCAATCAGAGACCATATGCAAATTTCCTTCTCATGTCCCCGTTTCTGCCATGAACCCTCTTCTCCACCAGGGGCTCCTATTGAAGCTGGCCAATCAGAGACCATATGCAAATAGCACCACAGCGGCAGCCAATCAGAACGCTGCCACATACCCCTTCCGCCCTCCACAATTCCTCTGTCCTATACAAACAAACATTATATATTATATACTAGCTTGGGGACCCGGCGCTGCCCGGGTTATTAGAGAAAGTGGGTAATGGCGGTTCTGTATGCCAAGTTTGGTCTTGATCAGTCATTGGATTAGGGTCGTAGTGGTTTCAGTAAGTGAGTAAAGGTACTGCAAGTCCCATCATCCATGGTCAACCCTCCTCCAAAACTGCAGCAGGATGTAGAGTGGGTCATGGGGGCTCTGTGTGCCAAGTTTGGTCTAGATTGGTCATTAGATGAGGGTTGCAGCAATCTTGGGGAGTGGAGGTACTTGAAGTACCATTTTCATTTTCTCCACCAGGGGCTCCTATTGAAGCTGGCCGATCAGAGACCATATGCAAATAGCACCACTGGGGCAGCCAATCAGAATGTTGGAACTTTCAGGCTGGCCAATCAAAACGCTGGCACATACTCCTCCCGTCGCACCGCCACACTTTTGTCCGCCGCATACAAACTTTCACCTTTATTATATACATAGATATAGATAGATAGATTATGGTTGGCCCCATGTAAACCGCTCTGAGTCCCCATCAGGGAGATCGTTTGTGGAGTTCAGAATGCTCTGTATTTCACCCATCCCAAACAGCCCTGGAGTCCCAGCAAATGTCGAGGATCCACTCCATCTCTAATTCTCTATTTAATTATCTATTAATCATTTGGCTGCAGACTGTGATGCAGGGACATATGGTGAAAATTGCCAGCATCGTTGTGACTGTGAAGGGAATGCTCTGTGTGAACCTGCGACCGGGCGCTGTCTCTGCCCTCCTGGGAAAACAGGCGCCAAGTGTGATGAAGGTCAGTTAATCCATTGTGAAAGGGATCTTGCCTTTTGCTACCCCTGGCTAGCCTATGGGATTTGCCAACCACCACCCCCCCTCGACCTTTATTTCTATGTGTGGCTGCTGTCTTTCACAGCTCTCCTCTCTCCCTTCCATTGAACCAGACTGCCAGCTGAAGAAATACGGCCCTGGCTGTGCGCTGACCTGTGAGTGTTCCTTGGCGAACTCATACTGCAATGCCCAGAACGGACGGTGCGTTTGCCTCAATGGCTACATAGGGACGACATGTCGGGAAGGTAAGGGAGACCGACGACGGAAGGGAGGGCTTGTTTTGCAAAGGAAAGCAGAACTGGAAAAACTAATGATGACTTTCCCCAAAAGGAATATGGGTTATGATTCTGCAAAAGTGTGCTCCTAGTAGTGAGGGTTGTTTCTGTCAGCAGTTAGCATAAGTAGCCCGCAGACTGTCTCTAGCCCAGTGTTTCTCAACCTGGGGGTCGGGACCCCCGTGGGGGTCGCGAGGGGGTGTCAGAGGGGTCGCCAAAGACCATCAGAAAACATAGTATTTTCTGTTGGTCATGGGGGTTCTGTGTGGAAAGTTTGGTCCAATTCTATTGTTGGTGGGGTTCAGAATGCTATTTCATTGTGGGTGAACTATAAATCCCAACAATTACAACTCCCAAATGGCAAGGTCTATTTTCTCCAAACTCTACCAGTGTTCACATTTGGGCATATTGAGTATTTGTGCCAAGTTTGATCCAGATCCATCATTGCTTGAGTCCACAGTGTTCTCTGGATGCAAGTGAACTACAACTCCAAAAACTCAAGGTCAATGTCCTCCAGAACTTCCCAGTATTTTCTCTTGGTCATGGGAATTCTGTGTGCCATGTTTGGTTCAATTCCATCATTGATGGAGTTCAGAAGGCTCTTTGATTTAAGGTGAACTATAAATCCCAGCAACTCCAGCATTACCAAATGACAAAATCAATCACCCCCAATCCCACCAGTATTCAAATTTTGGGCGTATCGGGTATTTGTGCTAAATGTGGTTCAGTTAATGAAAATACATCCTGCATATTTACATTATGACTATTTTAACAGTAGCAAAAGGACAGTTATGAAGTAGCAACGAAAATAACGTTATGGTTGGGGGTCACCACAACATGAGGACCTGTACTAAGGGGTCGCGGCATTAGGAAGGTTGAGAACCACTGCTCTAGCCCTTGTAACTCTATGTGTGATAAAGCAACTCATAAAAGAAAACACACGAGTCTTCAGCTTTAAGTAGAAAAGAAATAAATTTGTATTGACTGCATACAAAACAAAACAGAAGAACGGCTCTCACCAAAAACATATCATAAAACAATCTCTTTGGTGAGTCCTCTTCATTCCACGTTGATATGCAGACTTGTAACAAAAACAAAGCTTTTTTGTTGAGTTCCAGGGCCAGAGAAGCAGATGGCAGAAACAGAAGAACAGCCTGACTCAGGGGAAAAATAGACCCCTGTCTGATTCCAAAGCAAGCTGGCTTCAGGAAAGGCAAAAGCTGCACATCGCAAGTGCTGAACCTGACTCAGCACATGGCTTTGAAAGGCAGCAGATCACAGGAGCTGACTTCATAGACCTGGCAGCGGCTTATGATACTGTGAACCGCCTCCTCCTCCTGAGAAAAATGTATAATATCACAAAGGACAACCACCTCACCCACCTCGTAGGAAACCTGCTACAAAACAGGAGCTTTTTTGTTGAGCTCCAGGGCCAGAGAAGCAAATGGTAAAAACAGAAGAACGGCCTGCCTCAGGGGAGCGTGCTCGCTCCATCAATGTTCAACATTTACACAAATGACCAGCCACTGCCAGAAGGGACAGAGAGTTTCATCTATGCTGATGATCATGCCATCACCGCTCAAGCAGGGAGCTTTGAGATGGTAGAACAGAAGCTCTCCGAAGCTCTAGGTGCTCTTACTGCCTATTACAGGGAAAATCCCTAATCCAGCTGATCCCTAATCCATTTAAAACACAGACATGTGCCTTTCACCTTAACAACAGAGAAGCATCCCGAGCTCTGAGGATTACCTGGGAAGGAATCCCACTGGAGCATTGCAGCGCACCCAAATACCTGGGAGTCACTCTGGACCGTGCTCTGACCTACAAGAAGCCCTGCCTGAACATCAAGCAAAAAGTGGGTGCTAGAAACAATATCATACGAAAGCTGACTGGCACAACCTGGGGATCACAACCAGACACAGTGAAGACATCTGCCCTTGCGCTGCTACTCTGCTGCTGAGTATGCATGCCCAGTGTGGAACACATCTCACACACTAAAACAGTGGATGTGGCTCTTAATGAGACATGCTGCATTATCACAGGGTGCCTGCGCCCTACACCACTGGAAAAATTACACTGTCTAGCCGGTATTGCACCACCTGACATCCGCCGGGAAGTAGCAGCCAATAGTGAAAGGACCAAGGCAGAGACATCTCCAGCCCATCCCCTGTTTGGGTATCAGCCAGCACGTCAACGACTTAAATCTAGAAATAGTTTTCTAAGATCTACAGAGACACTCGCTGGAACACCTCAGCAACGAGAGTCCAAAAGTGGCAAGATCAAACCCAAGAACCTCAATCAATGGCTGATACTAAATGAGAGACTCCCTCCTGGGCACACAGAAAACTGGGTGACTTGGAAGGCGCTGAACAGACTGCGTTCTGGCACTACGAGATGCAGAGCCAACCTTCAGAAATGGGGCTACAAAGTGGAATCCACGACATGCGAGTGTGGAGAAGAGCAAACCACAGACCACCTGCTGCAATGCAACCTGAGCCCTGCTACATGCACAATGGAGGACCTTCTTGCGGCAACACCAGAGGCACTCCAAGTGGCCAGATACTGGCCAAACTACCAAGTTTGCAAATTTTGTGGTTTTTTATCTGTTTGTTCTGTTCTGTTAGAAATGTAATACAATGGTATGGTTGCTGATGACACGATAAATAAATAAATAACAAAAACAATATACAATCTCTCTTACTTAGTTGTCCGTAGAGTGACCTTGACTTGCCTTCTTATCTTCATCTCTGGACTGTCTGAGTATTGACGCTTGCCAGCGGAAGGATTGCTAGATAGCAGACACTGTGTTCAAAAATCAGGACTCTGCAGATTTTCAGTTACAACAGAAAACCAAGTTTACTAAGTACATCTATACACGTCTATTCACAGCAAGCTACAGACAGGAACTCCTAGGTAAAAACAACAGTCTCTGAACATCTGCTTATCTGACTTCTGGCTGAGACCAGTTCCTCCCTCTTCTTCTCAGCCAGAGAACACATTATCTCATTTCTGTCAAGGTTACATTATCACTGCCTCAGCACAGTATTTCTAATACACAATTGAACAGAATAGAATCCATCTTGAAATACATCTTAATCCATCTTGAATTACATAGAAGCACATTGAAAAACACACATGCATAACTAAATAATCCTGATATGGACACTTGCAGTAACTGCTCCCGGCACCAAACAAACAAAGGCTTTTCAGCTCAGAACGAGCCCCAAGCAAAGCATGGACTGCAATGCGCCAACATGGAGAATACAATGCTCCAAATAAAACGCAATACTCAACAAAGTACAAACACACAGTGGCTTACTATATACATGAGATAAATAACAATACACTCAATTATCCCATTAATTAACTGTGTCAGCTGCAATGCAAACAGCCCTGATCCTTATCACAACTTAGGAAAAGTACGTTGCAAACCTTTAGTAGCAACAGTTTCGGTATGTGGCTTTATTTTTTATTTATTTGTCGTATCAGAAGAAAATTGAGAATACAGTCATAATGTATTAGAAAAACCACAAACCAAGTTAAAAACTTGGCATTGTACTAAATTTACTTTGACGAGTTGCTTGGAGTGCATCTGATATCACTGTAAGAAGGTCCTCCAATGTGCATGTGACAGGGCTTAGACTGCACTGTAGTCCATGATTTGAGGTTTGCTCTTCTCCGCACTCCCATGTCGTGGTCTCCACTTTGTAGCCCCATTTTTTAAGGTTGGCTCTGCATCTCGTGGTGCCAGAGTGCAGTCTGTTCAGCACCTTCCAGGTCGCCCAGTTTTTTGTGTGCCCAGGAGGGAGTCTCATCTCGCATCAGCCACTGATTGAGGTGCTGGGATTTAGCCTGCCACTTTTGGACTCGTGCTTGCTGAGGTGTTCTTGTGAGCATCTCTGTAGATCTTAGGAAGCTATTTCTTGATTTAAGGCATTGGCATGGTGGATGATATCTGATCAGTGGATGGGCTGGAGATGTCACTGCCTTGACCCTTTCATTATTGGCTGCTACTTCCCGATGGCTTTCAGGTGGTGCAGTTAAACAGTATAATTACTCCAGCGGTGTTGGGCGTAGACATCCTGTGATAATGCGGCATGTCTCATTAGGAGCCACATCCACTGTTGTAATGCCCATACTTGGGCATGCGTATTCAGTAGCAAAGTGCAAGGGCAGATGTCTTCACTGTGTCTGGTTGTGATCCCCAGGTTGTGCTGGTCAGCTTTCGTGTGATATTATTTCTAGCACCCACTTGTTGCTAGAAGTCAGAACACAGTCCAGGGTAACTCCCAGGTATTTGGATGTGCTTCAATTTTATTTATTTATTTATTTACGACATTTATATGCCGCCCTTCTCACCCCGAAGGGGACTCAGTGCGGCTTACAAGGTATATAAACATACAATTTATTATTAGCATCGTACAATATCTGTTTAAATATTGCAATATTGTACTATATCAATTAGACTGTAGTATTATTAGTAATACCACATGTAATATAAATATATAATTATATCATATTATTATTAGTAGTATTATATTGCATCACATTATAATATTATAAATATTATATGTATATATTATATTATATATTATATTACATTATATTATTAGAATAGCACAGGAGACAAGGGTTCGAGTGGGATTCCTTCCCAGGTCATCCTTAGAGCTCGAGATGCTTGTCTGTTTTTTAGATGAAAAGCACACGTATGCACTTTCCATGGATTAGGAATCAGCTAGTGTTCCCTATAATAGTCAGTAAGAGTACCTAAAGCTTTGGATAGCTTCTGTTCAACTATTTCAAAGCTCCCTGCTTGAGTGGTGATGGCACGGTCGTCAGCATAGATGAAACTCTCTGTCCCTTCTGGCAGTGGCTGGTCATTTGTGTAGATGTTGAACATGGATGGAACAAGCACGCTCCCCGGAGGCAGGCCGTTCTTCTGTTTCCGCAGTGCTCCAGTGGGATTCCTTCCCAGGTCATCCTTAGAGCTCGAGATGCCTGTCTGTTCTTAAGATGAAAAGCAAATGTCTGTGTTTTAGATAGATTAGGAATCAGCTGGTTTTCCCTGTAATAGGCAGTAAGAGCACCTAAAGCTTCGGAGAGCTTCTGTTCAACTACAAGGG